TTTAGCATGTTTTGAAATATATGATTCGGGACTTTGAATATAGATTTGGTTCAGGACCCAGATTGGGCTTGTTGAGTATTGTTCGCACTAATTGTTTGTATTGATTATATTATTGAAAATGATTGAGACTCTAAGATACTTTTACAATTAAATGTAAGTACGCAACGGTCGAGTGGCAGAGGGTTTATCTTCCAGGTAGAGGCTGTAGGGGGTTTCTCATTGAGTTAGTAAATACCTAGCTAGCCCTGTTCGTCTTCGAACTTGGGTATCAAATTGTTACTAGGTAGCATAACTTGCTAGGGGTGAAAGTCACCCAAAAGGTTGGATTGTATGTTTGTATTGACCTTGAGTGGCCTATTAGGATGATTGGCCATTGATGTAGCTCTATATTGATGGTATGATCTTATTACTATTTTCAACTCAAATGTTTTCGTTCAATGTTTACCATTTTATTACTTATGTATGAAATGAACTGTTTTGATACTGCCAAATGAGGTCAAATTATGTTATTTTCAAACTCGCATGCTTTATAATTGAGTTATTCTACTAAGTTGTTGATACTCACCCTTCCCCCTTTTTTTAAGATTAGTTAGCGGTGGGAAAGTTTGTGAATGATTGAATTGCCAATTTTCAGGGTTTTTATTCTAATTGTTGGATAATGATGTTGAGGCATATAAATTGTAAATAGCTTGATGTACATGTATGAAATGCAACAAGTCTATGATTGAGTTATGTCCTAGCTGTGCATAGTAAATTTATATGTTCTACCTAATAGCGAATAAACATATTATTTATGGAATTAGTATTAGATTTTATTCATTATTTGGATAGTATATCATTTAGTACCTATGAATGTTATTAACGCGCTGAATATTATTTTACTGGGTCGGGGCTTTACAAGTTGGTGTCAAAGCATAGTGTTGACCCTATGCTTGGTTAAGCAAAGATTTGATGATAACATTCTTGTGTTACTAATCATCTTCTTGTGAGCTTGTTGAAAGTGTTGGATAGGTTTGACACAAGATGAGATAGCTTGGATGTTCAATGTGCTACACTATATATGAAGAACCAAAAGAGAAGATGCGATGATTGAAGATGTAAAGAATGAAAAAGAGTAAGAATGGCTAAATATGGTGATTGAATATGAGAAGATGCACCTACATGAATAGAATGAGTGTCATGGATATAGGTGGATTAAAGTAGTTGAAGAGCATGGCATTAGAAACTTCTTCAACCACTTTGTCGGTTTGATGTGCATATGAAGACAACTTGAATAGGTTAAGGATCACTATCATATGATCATTATTCAAGTTAGGAATGTAATTATGGTAGTTGAGAAGAAGAGTTGGAAGATTAAGGAAAAGAAGTGAAAGAAACAAGCCAAGAAGAAGGAATATTGAAATCAATCAATTTGACATAGTCTTTCGTAAAATGGGAATAACTTTGGATGGATATGTTTAATTGATGTGATTCAAGTGGAGTTAGAAACAAGACATCAATGTGAACAACTTTGTATGAAATGAGTTTGAAACAAGACATCAACGTGAACAACTTTGTATGAAATAGAAATTTCCATATTTGAACATCTTGAAGGTGAAAGATAGTGTGGAAGTGACAACTAAGGCATTGAAGGCTGACAGTGAAAAGTTTCAGACATGTCTCGGAATTTGGAACAAAACTTTCTCCTCCCATCCCAATGACCTGATTCAAATTGGGTTAAAAATAAGACATTGTTGTCTACAATTTTTTCATAAATAGCCTTCCTCAAATTCTAACATTTTGAGGGCCAAAATCACTTTGAAAGAAGGTGTCAGTGCATAGAACCGTTATGTCGGATACTTGAGGAGGCTTATTGGTTGGATTCAAGAGGCATTTCAATTGGTTGAACTGGCATACCGTTCTGGAATCGGCAAAGCTCAATTTCTTCCAGTATCTTCACATACTGGCCTCTGATGAACCGACAAAGTGCCTCTATCAAACCAACATACAGATTGGGTATTTCGGATGTATCCGTTGAAGGTTCTAACAACTAGTTTTTGGCTCATTTGCTTGTCAAATTGCTTCCTGTATAAAAGGGCATTGTGAGGACTATTGAAGCAAGAATTTTTGGGGGAATTCTTGGAGAGTTCTTGGGCATTCAAAGCGTGACATACATATTGAGGAAAATCAAAATTGTGAGATTTGGGCTATAAGGCCAACTGTATTTTTTTTTTCTCTCTTTGAGTTTATTTGAGTGATTTGTTGCTTTTAAAGAAAGGAGAAAACTTGTATTAAGTGGGCTTCAAGCTATATCATTTGAGAATGATAATGCTACGGTAAGAAGACAAGGTTATAAGGGGGTTAATCTTTACCTGTGAAGGAGATAGAGATTGTGAAAGGAAAGTTCCGTGGAGTAGGGAATAGAGGACATAGGCCATATTGGTTAGGGCCGAACCTCCATAAATTTTTTTTTTCTTCTTTCTTGCTATTATTTAATTGCATAAGCTATATCGTATTACTTGTCATATAAATTGACTATCATACATGTAGTCATACAATCATTTACATTATATATCTAGTACAATTTAAAGAAGCCCAAAATTAGTCACACACTCTCACAACCTAATTCACCCCCCCCCCCCCCCAGGTTGCTTTTGGGCCAACAATTGACATCAAAGCAAGGGATCTATCTATAGTGTGTAACAACATTAGAGTTAAAAGATCATGGCAACCTTTGGAAACAACATAATTGAAGGGCAATCTATTTCCAGATCTCCAATTTTAAATGAAATTGATTAAGCATATTGGAAGGCTAGAATGAGAAATTATACGATATCTTTAAATGATAATTTATGGGATATAATTGAAGATGGCTATTTAGCACCAATTAAACCCAAGAAAGTATGAGATGAAGAAGACAGAAAATTGTTTTCTTTAAATGCTAAAGTCATGCATATTTTATATTGTGCCTTAGATAAAAATGCATTTGACATGATTTCTACATGTGAAACGGAACAACATATGTGGAATACACTTGAAGACACTCATGAGGGCACGAATCAAATTCAAGAAACCAAAGTGAATATGCCTATACACGAGTTTGATTTATGTGAAATGAATGCACAAGAATCTATTATTGAGCTGTTCACTAGTTTTACCAATATTATAAACACTTTGAAATCTATTGGTAAATCTTTTTCTAATGAAGATTTTGTGAAAAAAGTTTACAAATACTTGCCAAAGGCTTGGGATGCTAAAGTGGTGGCTATTCGAGAAGCCAAAAATTTCAAAACCATGTCATTGGATGCTAAAGTGGCGCCTCTAAATTGATTTTATGTGCACATCAATTTTAGACATCATTGTCACTAGGATGTCATTTTTCTTGGACGGTTTGATATTTCCGGAAATAGTGACTTGGTGGCACCCCATTCCAATGTCACATGTTATTCTCTCGAGGAATGAAAAACACATGCCACACTTTGTTCTGCCAAACCAACGTCGTAATGCATTTAACGGTTTTTTTGGGAGTTTTATTTTTCCAAGATTCCCCTTAATGTTCTATTTCCCAGAGTTGATGGAAAATAGAAAAGATAAAAATACGAGCGATACATTTTTTATTCTTTAAGGATAAAAAATAAGAATGATACATTTTTTTTTTTTTTTGTGTTTAGTTGGATGGATGAAAAATAAAAAAGTCAATTTTTTTTTTGTGCTAACTAAGACTAAATGTGACAATATAGTCGAGTCAGATTCGTGTTGAATCATTGCGAATTTGTGTCGAATATTAGTCAAATTTAACTTAACTCATTTAACTAATTGTGTCATGTCGAGTTACGAGTTGACCTATTTATTTTTGTATCGAGTTCGAGTCGTGTCATCGTATTAGTCAAAAATTTTCACTCTTAGTTAAGATGAAAAAAATATTTTTTTTTAATTTAAATTTTTTAATTTTTAATTAATTTTTAATATTTTTAAAAATATATATACAAATTTTACCATTGTATTTTTATATGAAATTAATATATGCATAAGATATATAGACAAATAAGATACATCTCAAAATAAATAATTAACTTTCTATTCACTTTTCTTCCGATTTTGAAGGGATTGATTTTGGTTAATTGAAAAGAAAGTTAATTCATCCATTTTTTCATCCTTCCGACTTTCCTTCCTCACCAAACATGATGTATTTTTTATTTTTTTAATTTTTCATCCTCCCACTTTTCCATCGTACCAAGCAGAGCATTAAGATTTGGAGTTGGAAATTACTTTTTTTTTTTGGTTTTTTTACCATTAATGACTATCAATTTATTGTATGTGAGGCTCTTGTGATAAATCATATTGCATTCTTCTCTCACCAATGTTCCCTATGATATGAAATGACAGAATTTGTTCCTTTTTAAGTTTTGGTCCATACGCCCAAAAAAAAAGGAGAAAGAAAAAAAAATTAGGGAAAAATAGTTATTTTCTTTTAAATATGAATAATTAATTTATTTTCTTCTTCATTCCTTCTAATGGCATACATTTGAAAATCTAATGTAAGTTGGCTTTTGAGTAAATATTTATGTGTGCTACTGTCAATTATAATTAGGCATATAATTTCAAGTATAAGAATTTTATGGGTTTATATTTTCAATTTATGGTATGTTGATTATTAAAATTGGGTTGTCTCTGTATCATCATTGAAATTTGTATTCACCAGAATTTTAATATATATAATACTTTATTGAGTATATATGTAAAATGCGAGTACCATTTAGTAAAAGAGAAACTTTTAAAATATATGCGTCCCCTGACAAAGAAGTAGAGAAGTAAACAATTAGTACAACTTGGGTCAGCCGAAATCAAATTTCCCATGAAACATGTGACGCATTGCCGCAAAAGAAATAAAGATGTGGACGGCATCAATTCACTTTCCCACAGCCAGAAATGAAATAAACGTGTTTAAACCACCAAATCACTTTCCCAAACCCAGGAATCTATAAATAAGTCCCAGGTTTCAGTACTCCAAAGTCATCAATATCTCCCAAAGATATTTCTCGTTAATACTTGATAACAACTTCATAATACCCATGGCTATTTGTCACCGCATGTTAGCCGGTACTAATCCATTTAACACCCAACAAACAGGCAAGATTAGCGTACCTGTAATTCAATCTTTGCCTACCACCCACAAATGGACGATAGCCCACGACCTCACGTTGGGTTCTAATCCATCACAACGTTATGAATATCTTATAGGAAACCCCATTTCACCTGTTGAGGTATTCATTCCATCATTTCTTGTTTCTCTGCAATTTCTGATCTTTAATATTTGGTTATACCAAAAAGCTACGATTACATAAGGATTAGTTACCATTAACTGTAACGTAATGTTACCCTAAATATTTTTTCTGTGTCTAACAGTTCTCCTTGAAGGATGAAGTTCACATCAAACACGCAAGAAAATTGAAGGAGGTCAGGCGTGTACTGAGCAAAGCCGGAGAAGAGCCATTGGAGGGACTATTTTTGATTGATGCTATCCAACGCTTAGGCATTGAGTACCACTTTCAAGAGGAGATTGAAGCAATTCTACAAAGGCAGTATATGGCAATTAAAACAGATGTTCATAAATATGAAGATCTCTATGAGGTCTCACTGTGCTTTAGACTGTTGAGACCAGAAGGTTACTATGTCTCCCCAGGTAGGTTCCTAACTATTAAAGTGAGCGTCATGTTAATTTTGAGTTTAAATTTGATTGTGAGCTATTATACCCAAAACAATGTCCATGATGAGCTAATGTAATTTGAAACAGATGCGTTTAGCAACTTCAACAAGCAGGGGAAGTTCACACAAGAACTGAGTAAAGACGTGAAGGGGGTCATGGGTTTATTTGAGGCTTCGCAGCTAAGTATAGAGGGAGAAGATATACTTGATGAAGCGACAAACTTTAGTAGACAGGTTTTAAGTGAATTGGTGACACATCTTGATCCTCATCAAGCGAGAACTGTGGCATCCACATTGAGGAATCCCTACCACAAGAGCTTGGGAAGATTCATGGCAAAGAACTTTATCGTAGATTATAGAGGTACAAATGGATGGGAAAATGACTTGCAAGAACTGGCAAAAATGGACTTCAAAGTGGTTCAATCCATACACCAAAGAGAATTACTTCGAGTATCCAAGTACGTCATTAACATAATATAGAATCTCATTTCTTTTTTTCACTCTCATTAATGGCAACTGAACCAGGTGTTATTTGCTCTTTGTTTTTAGAGAAATTATACTTCTATTCTCCCACCTATGTCTTCGGTCTTATATATCCTTTCCGGCCTGCTACAATCTTTCTTATATTGTACATTAAATTATATATGTTTATTGATTTTTTTTGTCCCATCAATTATTACGTTGTTCATATTCCACATCTAACTAAGATTATTGATTTCACACCTCCATTATCCAAATTGGAAAAATGAATTTTGTTATACTGGACATTTTCCATTGAAAACGTGACAAAAACTTAAATTTCAATTAATGTAAAACCAATTCAACTATTTTGGAAGACAGTATAATAAACTTAATAGGAGAGAGGACAGAGGAAATCTAAGTAATAGTTAAGAGGCTATTGTGCCATTTTCTTCTATATTTTTGAAGGTAATGTTCGTCTAATGTGTGTCACTGTCATCTTAGGTGGTGGAGAGACCTAGGTTTGGCTAAGGAGTTGAAGCTTGCAAGGGACCAACCACTTAAATGGTACATGTGGCCAATGGCAATGCTCACAGATCCAAACTTGTCGTACCAAAGAATTGAGCTCACAAAGCCCATTTCTCTCATATACATGATAGATGATATTTTCGATCTTTATGGGACGCTTGATGAACTCGTTCTTTTCACTGAAGTTGTCAAAAGGTACGCATCAATATCATAATAGAAGTCTATTGCCTGTAATGTTAGGCAACGGAATATATAATGCTAATAATGGAATTATTATAAGCAGGTGGGACTTTTCTGCCGTCGAACAACTACCAGACTACATGAAGAACTGTTTCAAGGCTCTTTATGACACCACAAATGAAATCAGTTACAATGTCTACAAAGCATACGGTTGGAACCCTATAGACTCACTACGAGAGACGGTATTTGTTGATTTCCCCGGCTGAAAATAACCTTTTGAACAAATTAAAAGCATGTTCACTATTATTGACCATATAATATAAGTAGTGATCTAAGATTATTGATTGGTTGCAGTGGGCAAGTCTGTGCAATGCGTTTCTCGTAGAAGCCAAGTGGTTTGCTTCTGGGAAGTTGCCAAAGGCAGAGGAGTACCTGAATAATGGGATTGTCAGTTCAGGTGTACATGTGGTCCTTGTCCACCTATTTTTCCTCCTGGGTCATGGTAGGGATAAGGAAAGTGAGTGTCTGGTCAAGGACAATCCAGGTCTGATCATTTCTGTGGCCACAATTCTTCGTCTTTGGGATGACTTGGGCAGTGCCAAGGTAACAATATATTTATATACCACTTGAATTTCAGGCGACATAAGTTTTATTGAAAAGGACAACATGATAAAATAACACCAAAATATAACACGAATGACTGATTGGTTAAGGTAATTTTATATCCAAATAATCAATTTTGATATAATAAACTCGTTCAATTGGCATTGAATTAAACAGATACCTAATTTTTTCCTCTTTCTTCTAACATAAATCTAGTGAGTTTTTAGTTTTGAAGGCTAATGAGTGATGGGTTTGGTGAGGGGAAAGGAATTCTAGCTTTAATATTTGGTTCACGTGAATTGAGTGACGACCCGTATTTGTCATCATTAATAAGTCATATTAGTGTTAAAATATGTAGGACTAATTATTAAATAGGTTGAACTAGAATTTACAAACAACCTCTTATGCAGACAATTTTGTCAGAAATAACAATTGCTTCAATTTATTAAGAATATCTAATGTATTTCCTTACTTAATTGACAGGACGAAAATCAAGATGGGTACGACGGATCATATGTGGAGTACTACATGAAAGAACACCAAAGCTCTTCAGTTGAAACCGCACGAGAACATGTTATTAACAAAATTTCTGACGCATGGAAGAGCCTCAACAAGGAGTGCTTGTCTCCAAATCCATTTTCAGCAACTTTCAAAAAGGCTTCTCTTAATCTTGCAAGAATGGTGCCTTTAATGTACAACTATGACGACAATCATCAGCTTCCGGGCCTTGAGGAGCTTGCTACTTCATTGCTTTATGACCATGTATATTAATAAGAGTGTTCCCTATAAATAAACAACAACCTAGTTTGATGTTATAACTAGTTAGATCTATGAGATTTTAGTTCAATACTGAGTAGTGGAAGTGTAATATCTGCATTCTTCTGTGTTGAACACTTGTAATACCATGAATTAGTTATAGAAGATTAATTTCTTCAAAAATTCTTTTTCTTTTTGTGGACCCATGTGGTCACCGGGGAGGCATGTTACACTTATAAACGTCATTTCAAGTCATTTGGAGTCAAAACTATGTCTGCATGTGCACTGTCGGTTCACACAATTATTGGCAAATCAATGATCATCACTTACAACGACCAGCAATGACTCCCTTTTCCCCCTTTTCGTCCTCTTCCTCCTCCTTCCAGATTTTCTTCACAGATCTCCCCTCCCTTGATCCCCTCTGCCTTACTCCACTCTCACCTTCTCCCATGGACCCCACCCACTCAGACTCGTTCCTCACAATCACAGAAAAGGGTCTTAAATTGCCTAACCCTCTACCCAGGAATACCCCACTCAAAGAAAGGGGCACCGAACCAACTACCACCATTGAATGCTTATCTCTACAAACCACGGTGAATTTGGGAAAAGTAACCGAAGAAGGTCAACTGGTCACCGAGGATCTCAGCCAAAAAGATACCCCGATCAAAATACCCGATCTCCTATTTTCATCCCAAATGACTCTATTTCTTCAAAACTTAATCACCCCTTTGATCCTAGCCAACCTAAACCACAAGACCAAAGTAACCCCAACCCAAAACTCACTTGGAGCCAAATCGTGAAATTCGGAAATGTTCAAGGAGCTACAGTTCAATCTCAGGTTATGAAACTCAAGTACTATGAGCCTAGAAAAGGAAAAGTTGGTTGTTCAACCCCCTAGGGAGGTTGGAGAAATGGGTAGTCTGAAATGACAACATTGTCTGATTGGGTATTTCATTGAAAGGAAGCTTTCCTACTCCTCTATTAATTTCATTGCTCACAGAAATTAGGACAAGTTGGGGCTTCTTGAAGTTCTAGCATATGACAGGGGATTTTATTTCTTCAAGTTCACGAGCGAAGAAACAAAAAAATCTATGTTTGAAGCTGGGCCCTAGTTATTCTCTGGAAGACACTTGATTGTGAAAAACTGGCGTCTAGAACTTACTCTCTCCAAAGAGGACCACTCCTCTATTCCCCATTGGATTAAGCTCTTCACTATTCCATTACAATTTTGGACTGATGATGGTTTAAGCCACATATCCAGCACAGTTGGGCATCCTATTCATGCCGACTCCCTCACTTCCTCCAAACGTAGATTGAACTTTGCTATAATTTGTGTGGAAGTTAGTGTAAACTCCCAGCTCATTGATTCTTTCGACCTTCAAATGGAGATCAATGGCAATATTGAAAAGATTGAAATTATTGTTGAATACCAATGGAGGCCAAAAACTTGCCACTCGTGCAAGGTCTTTGGCCACTCCAACTCCACTTGTCCCAAGATGGCTATTGCTTCCGCTTGGAAACCTAAAAACCTCCCACAAAAGCCTGAAGATTCCAGAAGTTAGAAGGGGAAAGACATTATTTTCACAATAGAGTTTGTCTTTCCTGATCTACCTACAATTAGTGTTGTTCCTAATGCTAATCCCACAATCTCTGCACAATCTCAAGAGCTGCATATCACTCCAAATCCCTCAGAGGCTTTGTTTCCACCCCAAAATCAACATGATTCCCAGGTAAACTCTATACTTGAAACTTCTTGCTTGTCTCCTGCTCAACCCTTACTCTAGTCTCCAAATAGATTTAAAAGCCTTCAGGTTCAAGAAGGCCAACTGGCAGTCGATATCATCCCTGCAACTAGTAAATAGTCGATTGAATCCCATCAATTGAATACAAAAGGTAATATTATTAACAAGAAGAAGGCTAAGAAAAAGCCTCCTGTTACAGGGAGGTTGAGAATGTTCTGAGCTTTTGAAACTCATTTTTTTTTTGTTTCCTTATGTTTAACTTTGCTACTTGGAATATTAGGGGACTAAATGACCCCATAAAGCAAGTTGAAGTGGAAAAACTCATTTTTGAAAACTATCTGGACATGTTGGACATTGTTGAGACCAGAGTTAGAAATATTAATAAAGAAGCCATTAGAAGAAATGTTTTCACTAATTGGGCCTTTTTTACAAACTATGATTGCCACCCTCTTGGTAGGATCCGAGTTGGATTGAATACTGCTACATTAATTGTAAATATTGTTTCCCACATGGACCAAGTGATTCACTGTGAAGTGGTCCACAATGATAGTAGGACAAGAGTTATCGTCTCTTTCATTTATGGTGCTAATATGTAGAGGTGCAACTCGGGCAGGTTGAACAGTCAACCCTAGCCCAACTTTAGGTATATAATCTTCAACCCTAACTCTACCTAGAGTTAAGGAACTCAACCCGAGCACTGCTCGAATTTAATTCGGGCGGGCTCGGATTGAATTCAGGTTAATAATTTTGAGTTATTTTACGGGTTCAATTCGCGTTGAGTTCGGGTAGAGCCCAAAATAGGCTTGTTGTTCTAAACCTAATACATATATTACATAATATTCACTTAAATTAACAACCAATAACTTCAACCAAGTTTTTAACAGTACTAATACTAGAACAAAAATGAAAATGAATAAGAGAGACAGAGAATGATAGAACAAAAAAGAAAATTTAGTGCTAACGCTTTATATATATATATATATATATATATATATATATATATATTTTAATTTGTCGAGTTCAGGTTAAACTCGTGAACCCGAGGCCTTAACCCAAGCCCAACCCAAATTAAATTCGGATTTGAGTTTTTCAACCTAAGCCCAACCCAAGTATTAAAAATCCTTGTCCAAGTCCTAATTTTTTCAGGTTAAAATTGGGTTGCCCAACCCAAGTTACATCCTTACTAATATGACTATGAGAGAAGAAGACTTTGGAGTGATCTAAGATTCCATTTTGGCTCCTTTAGCTCCCTTCCTTGGTTGCTCGTTGGTGATTTCAAAGCCTTAAGAAGTATCCAAGAACATCAAGGACATGACATTAGATGGAATCAATCTATTCAGGACTTTAATGACTTGGTGAACGATGTTGAGCTTTTGGAATTGAGGTTTTCGAGAATCCTCTATACTTGGTCTAACAAAAGAGATAGAGAAGCTTACATTGCTAGGAAGCTTGACAGGGCCTTGGGTAATGATGCTTGGATTCACAATATGGAAAGAACAATGGTTGAGTTCCTCCCCCCAGGAATTTCTGACCATACTCCTGTTTTTATAAAAATTGGAAACCCCCCACCCCCGACAAAAAAAAAAAAAAAAGAACAACCGCTTTAAATTATTTAATTTCCTAGCATATAATATGATTTTATTCCTACTATTCCTTCTATATGGAGTGTAAATTTGCAGGGATCTTATCAATACAAAGTATGCAGCAAACTAAGGTTGCTCAAATCTTCCTTGAAAGCCAAAAGCAAAGAAATTGGGGATTTGTCCTGCCTTGTGAAAGAGAAGAAAGCTGCACTTGATCATTGCCAGAGGAAGCTTGACATGAATCCTCTTGACTCCCTTACAAGGCAAGAGGAAAAATCTCTTCTTGTAGAATATGCTCAAGCAGCCAGAAATGAAGAATCCATCCTCAAGCAAAAATCTAGAGTCCTATGGCTCAAAGAAAGGGATCACAATTCAGCCTTTTTCTTCAAAACTATAACCAACAGAAGGAATAGGAAAATAATTTTGCCACTTCATACTTTTGATGGCTCCACAGCTGAAGGGGAAGAAGCTGTGGGTAATGAGGCTATCAACTTCTACAAGAATCTTCTAGGGAAAACTAAAGGCACCATTCCCAATCAAGAAAGGAAATCCTTCTTTGAAAGTCTGGATCTTGGCAAGCTTACTGACCTTCAAGGGACTCATTTGGTTAGGGATATTGAATCTGTCAAAATCAAAGAAGTTTTCTTTTCCTTCAATGACATGAAAGCACCTGGTCCGGATGGTTTTAATGCTCATTTCTCTAAGAAGTTTTGGCCTATCATTGGAGATGAAATCACTGAAACTGCTAAGCAATTCTTCAAGCGTGGTAAACTCCTTAGGGAACTTAATTCCACTATTCTTGCTCTTGTCCTTAAGGTTCCATATCCCACATCTATGGGGAATTTTAGGCCAATTTCTTGTTGCAACTTGCTCTACAAAGCTATCTCCAAAATCATGGCCAACAGAGTTAGAGAAATCCTTCCATAGATTATCAGCCACAACCAAACCACCTTCATACCTAAGAGAAAAATAGGGGATAACATCATGCTTGCTCAGGAACTCCTCAGAAACTAGCATAAAAATGATGGGGCCCCTGGGTGTGCAATCAAGGTCAATATCATGAAGGCCTTTGATTCTTTGGACTAGGGATTTTTGCTTGATGCCCTTGAAGCTTTCAACTTCCCTGAAAAGCTAAGAAAATGGATTCATTCTTGCATCACCTCCCCCTTTTTCTCTATCAATATTAATGGAGGTCTTGTAGGTTACTTCCCAAGCTGGAGAGGTCTTAGGCAGGGTGATCATCTTTCATCTTACCTCTTTTTCATTGCCATGGAGATTCTCAATGCAATTATGCAGCAACAAGCATGCTCTAACCCCTAATACAAATTTCATTAGAAATGTAAGAAATTGAAGCTTATTCAACTTTCCTTTGTTGATGACCTCCTTCTACTCTGCAAAGGTTGATCATTCTGTCAAAATTCTGAAGGAAGCTTTTGATTTTTTTCAGAAAATATTAGGTCTCCAAGCTAAGCCCTCTAAAAGTGAGATCTCCATGGCAACCATTCCACAAGATACTAGGCTTCAGATTATTCAACTGTTGGGCTTCTCTGAAGGCCATCTCCCTGTTAGATATCTTGGAGTTCCCCTTGTCTCCACCAAACTCAAAGCTACCCACTGCTCCCCATTGTTCGAGAAGACTGTTACAAAGGTTAAGTGCTGAATCAATAAGTCCCTTTCTTTTGCAGGAAGACTCCGGCTGATTCTGTCTGTCTTTTCTAGCATCCAAATCTTCTAGGCTTCCAACCTTTTTATTCCACAACAAGTCCTTGATTCCATTAAAAATATTTTGAGATTTTTTTATGGAAAGGTACTGATTTGAAATCTACTGGGGCCAAGATTACATTGGATGATGTTTGTAAGCCTAAGAATGAAAGGGGCTTGGGAATCAAGAAACACAAGGACTTGAATTATGCCCTTGT